ACAGTATGTCAACCAGCAGCAAAAGACTGTATTCTTCTTGAGTGCACATGAGACATTCCCAAGGACAGATCATCAGTCAGGACACAAAACACACTTTAGCAAATTTAAGAAGACTGAAATTATATCATGTATCTTTTCTGATTGCAAATGTTATGAAACTAGAAACCAGTAAGACATTTTCAAAAATTCACAACTACATGGAAAGTAAACATATTCCAAAGTAATCAATGGATAAAAGAGGAAAGGGAAATCAGGAAGTATCTTGACATAATTGACATGGAAATAACATAAGAAAGCTCAGAATATATAGCTAAAGAAATTCTAAGAGGAAATACTAGTAAATGCCTACCTCAAAACATAAAAATGATCTCGTTACTTAATGTAATTACCCAAGAAATTAGAAAAATGAGAACAACTAAGCTCAAAGTTAACAGAAGGCAGTAATACATAGAATAAAACAATGAATCCAGGGGGGAAAAACAACCAAGGGTTGGATCTATGATACGACAACTAAACTGACATCTCTCTAAACCTGGAAAAAAGAGAAATTTCAAATAAAATCAGAGAAAAGGATCATAAACCCTGACCCATCATATGCTGGGAAATTGCATAGCCTAGAAGAAATTATTAATTCTTAGATACAAATGACCTGCCAAAATTGCATCATGAAGAAATAAAAAATTTGAAAAGATCAGCAGCTATTAAGGAAATTGTGTGTAACAAGAGTCTCTAATTAAAAAAATGTCTAAACTGTGATGGCTTTGTTTCTAAATTCAGAAAAGCTTCATTTAAAAAATGATTATCAGTCATTGTCAAGTTATTGCCAGAAAATAAAAAGGAAGGAATGCTTTGAAATTCATGTTGAGACAATCATTATATTGATTCCAGAGCTAGACAAGGACATTATAAGACACACATTACATGCCAGTGTGCTTGATGAATGTACAGAAATCCTCAACAAAGCAGCAGCAAATAGAATTCAACAACACACTGAAGGGATTGTCCACTTCGATCATGTCAGATTGTCAATGAAATGTGTCAGTAGTTCAAAGTGTGCAATGGATAAATGTGTGATATATAAATGTGTGACATCATGATGACAGAATAAAGGACAAAGCCTACAATTATCTTGTTAGAGAAAAAGCAAGAGAAAAAAACAGCCTTTCATGGTTAAAAAACGTTTATCACCAAAATGGGCCTAGAAGGAATGTACCTTAACACAATAAAAGCCATATACAGAAGCCAATAACTAACAGAGAAAGCTGAATGCCTTTCTTCTGGAATCTGTAACAAGACAAGAATGCTCACTTGCACCATTTCTATTCAGCACAGAATTAGTAGTTACCAGAGAAATTACAGTAATTACAATAATAATGAAATATCCAAAAAGAAATTAAGAGTATAATCTCATTTACAACAAAAAACAAATTGAATACTTTGTGGGGTTTTTTTGTTTTGGTTTTTGGTTTTTGGTTTTTTTTTTTTTGGTATCAGGGATTGAACTTGAGACTATGCGCTCGCGAGACAGGCAGCGGAAACACTGAGCTAAATCCCTGGGCAAATTAAATGCTTAGTAATAGATATAGCCAAGAAGATGAATCACCTGTACATTAAAAAATATAAAATACTGAAATAAATTGAATAAGACATAAATGAAATGATATTCCATACTCTTGGATTGGAAGAATATTTTTGAAAGATCCATACTACCTGAGGCGCTTCTCGGCCTTTTGGTTAAGATCAAGTTTAAAATATAGATTTAGTGGAATCCCTACCTAAGTTCCATTGTAATTTTTCATAGAAATAAAAACTTAATTCTAAAATACATAGAAGCAAATAAAAAACAGTCAAAGCAATCACAAGCAAAAAGAACAAAGATGGAGGCATCATACTACTTAATTTCAAATAATAATGACAGTAATTAAAACTCTGTAGCATGACAAAGAAAATGAACACATCAACCATTGTAACAGAATAGAGAACCCACAAATGAGTCCATCCATATAGGGCCAATTGATTTGTTATAAAAGTGCCAAGAATACACGGGAAAATGATTGTTTCTTCAATTTTATGTGTTGAGAAAACTGGATATCCACCTACAGAATGATAATACAAACTCACATAACACCATACACAAGAATCAAAACTATAATAATCAACATGGATTAAATATTTAAGAGGAGAAACTATAAAACTACCAAAAGAAATTTCATAGGAGGAAAAAATGCACATTAGTCTGGGCAAAAAATGTTGGGGGGATGTTATTCCAAAAGTATAGTGAACAAGAACAAAGTAGACTAATGGGATTACATCAAACTCAAAAGCTTCTTATTAAAAAACTTCTGCACTGCCAAAGAAACCTTCAACAGAACTAAGAGACAACCTACAATGTGGGAAAAAAGTTTTACCAGCTGCTCCTCAGACAAAGGACTCTTATCTAGAATATATAAAGTAATCAAAACAATCAGCCCCCCCAAATATAAAGACCCGATTCAAAAATGGGCATCTGAAATGAACAGACATTTCTCAGACAAAGAAGTAAAAGCAGCAAGTAAATGTATGAAAAAATGTTCCACATAACTGATCATTCGAGAGATGCAGATGAAAACAACACTGAGATTCCACCTCACCCCACAAAGAATGGCTGCTATCAAGAAATCCAACCAGTAACAAATGTTGGCGGGGTAGTGTGGAGAAAGGAACCCTTCTCCATTGTTGGTGGGAGTGCAGACTGGTGCAACCACTGTGGAAATCAATATGGAGATACCTCAAAGAGCTGGACTAGAGGTTTCATTTGACCCAACCATCCCTCTGCTGGGTATCTTTCCAAAAGAATTAAAAGAATCGTATCACAGTGATATATGCGCACCTATGTTTATGGTGGCACAGTTTGTAATAGCTAAAACTTGGAAACAGCCCATTTGCCCATCAGTTGAAGGCTCGATAAAGATGTGGTTTTTCTGTAAAAGGGAATGCTACTCAGCCATAAAGAATGAGAAATTAGAGTCATTCATAGGAGAATGGGTACATATTGAGGATAAACTCGTAAGTGAAATAAATAAGTCATGTGTGTAAATACCAAATAGTTTCTCTGGTGTGAAAAATTATAATAGTACATAAGATTCTAATGATAGAATTGACAATGTGAAATAGGAAGAAAAGGGCTAAAGTTGTAGGGAAAGTGGGAAGGGTAGGGGAAAGGTAATAAGGGAAAAGAAAAAATATGAGAAAATGAAAAAATGGAAATAAAGTGTTTGTAAATGGGGAGGGGAGGAGGGGGTGAAGGGACAAGAGGAAAAAATGAGAACCAAGACCTGTCACGTAAAGGTACAAGATCCCAATGATGAATGTAACTGTACTGTATACCTAAAATGTACCAATAAACAATGGGAGAAAAAAAAAAAACTCAAAAGCTTCTGCACAGTTAAAAAAAAAGTAACAATGGTTAGGGAAAATATAAGCCATATATCCAGGAATATTGAACTAATATTCAAGATACATAAGAAATTTAAACCAACAATAAGAAAAAACTAAAAAGTAAGCAAGAAAACTGTAGATATTTCTCAAAAGAAGACATGCAAATAGCCAGTAGATAAAGAAAATAAATGCTTAGTATCACTAATCATTTGGTATATGCTACTTAAACCAGAATGAGATATCCTCTCACACATGTAACAATGGCTATTCTAAAAAAAAAGACATAACAAGATGAGTATTGTCTGCGCTGTGGAGAAAAAAGAATACTGCTGATGTGAATATTGAACATCCTTAATCTGAAAATCCGAAATCCATATAAATCATCCAGAATCCATCCATTTTGACCATTGACATGATGTTACAAATGGAAAATTATACATTGTGAAACTATCTCATGAATAATATTATTAAAATTAAATACTTGCAGCCTATTATGAGCATAGTGTATGAGTTTGGAGATTCCTCCCCAGCAATTAAAAATAGAAATTCCATTTGACCTACCTAATCCCCTTCTAGGTATCTTCCCAAAAGAATTAAAGACATCATATTAGAGTGATATATGCATGCCTATGTTTATAGCAGCAAGAGCTTCTAAAAGCTAAATCTTGGAAGCAGTATATATGTCCATAAACAGATGAATGGATAAAGAAAATACAATATTTATACACAATGGAATACTACTAGGAAGGATAAATTTGAATCATTTGTAGGAAAATGGATGCACCTTAAATCGATAATGTTAAGTGAAATAACTCACAAAGAAACTTAAAGATCATACGAGTCCTCATATAAGAAACCCTAAATAAAGAACAAAATAGAATATAGATAATAGGAAACAGGAAGATAGATCTTTTGAAAATGCAAAGGGGAGGGAGAAATCAAAGGGAGAAGGGAGGCAGAGGCAAAAAGAATTGAGTGCCACATGCCAACTACCAACAATAAATGCATTTTCGATGTATCATTGACATGTATTAATAAAAATGAAAATAAATAAATATGTCTGAAATGAAGATCTAAAATGAATAATCGAAATTTTTACCTCAACAAGTTAAGAGCATGTTAATTGGTGAAACCAGTTTTGGTAAAACCAGTTTCAGTGAAACAGAAAACAAACATGCAATAGAAAAAAACAACAAACCAAGACATGGTCTGGGAAAATTAATAAATTAATTAAATGAATAATCTGTAGGAAGAGTCCTCAGAGAGAACATGTGTCACTATTAGGAACGAGAGGGGATGTAACTGGATTTTTCAGACAGTAGAAGGATGTGATGAAAACCTTTATCTCAAATGTTTGATCATTAAATGAAATGGATAAATTCTTTTAAAAATACATCTGAAGAAAGCTATCACAAAAAAAATGAAAATTTTGAATAGTCCCTCGGTAAAGAGATTGCATCTGTAATTGAAAGTATTTCCCCAAAAAAGTTTCCCCCAGATAACTTCATTAGTAAATTTTGCCAGACATTTAATTGAAGAAGTAAATAATTTTACATATATTCTTACAGCCAAAGGAAAATGCAAAAAACTCTTCCTCAATCAATCTTTAGGTCAAACACTGACACAAGATTAGTATTTGCACCTGGGACCCATGACCAAGCTGTGTGGGTCATTTGGAAGGTGCCTGTCTGTCCGCTTGGATGGATCGCTAGGTTACCTGGGACAAGGGAATGTGGGAAGGTGAGAAGGGAAACAGCTTCATTTCCGAGATAGGGCCATCTCCATAACCAGCCCAGCCTGAAAGATCGGAGGCACATGGTCCCGTGCAGTAAACCAGAAGGGGGCAGCAGATAGCAAGGAAGCCACAGAGGAAATAATGGAAAGAGCTGGGGAATCGAGTGACAAAGGAAATGCCTGATTGGGATCACACGCTAGTTTGGGGCCCTGCAGCCCCACAACTACAGCTAGGCTGAATTCTGAGGTGCAGGAAGGGAAGAGAAAAGCAGACCCACCAGCATGAAAAATGGTCCACACTCAGTTTATTGATTGCTTCAGTTGTGACCAAGAGAGGAAAGGTGCTGTCTTCAGTTCTCACGGAGACCTTGGTAGTATCTTCTGCCTTCTGAAGGGATTCCTAGTTACTGTGGGAGAACAAAGCACATGGGCTTAGGGTACTAATAGCAAACTCCATTCCGCTGTGAGTACTGCCAAGTGAGAGAGTCATGTGACAGAGAAAAGAATTCCTGAAATAATGTCCACGATTCTTTTTGTTAAATGTTTTCTTCATGAGTGAATTATTTATATTATTCTTTTCTATGATTTGTGGGGTACTGTCATTTTTAATGAAAAGTATTTGCAAATAACAGAATAACATTTTTTCACTTATAATGAAAATTTGTGACTAACAATTTACTATATTTACCTATTTTTAGAAATTTAGATACTGTGCATACTAATTTTGCTTTTCCCATATCTTACAATCATTTATAGATTTTTACATTGCAAACATTTTGTGATTCCATGAAAACTCATATACCATAAGCAACTGTGCTTAAAGTAGTGCTTATAGTACCTAACAGGTAAAATAGACCTGATTATGTTTGTTTTACAAACTAATTTACAGATCCTACATACTATTAGCTTCACCTCTTTAATTCCATTCTAACAGTAAGAGTAAGTTCTCAATAAATGTAAGAAAACATTATTAACCTGGATTAAAATATACTAAAAGATTTACTAAGATTGATAGGTAAGCTATTAATGCAGTTCTTTACTAATTCATGTATGTACTACTTAGAAATTAATTGGATTATTATGAATTTCACTTTAATTTAAAATATATATTTATTTTTCTAATCTCCTAATATACTGAGTGCTATGCATTTTGGTGCTTCCCTATGATATTGACCTAAAGATGTAAGGAAATGACATGTTTAGGTTGAATTATACAATCTGTCAAAGTTATGATAGATTTAATTTTATGGTAATCGTTTTCTCATTCTGTTCAAAGTTGTGGTGAAAAAGAAATACCTGCATATTTCTATACCAATTATTACCAAGTGTAAAGATCTTGGGCCTCTTTTCCAGTTTATAACCTATAGTAGATCCTTTATTTCTAAACCCTCAAATAAAACAATGGAAAAGAAAAAAAAATACAAAAGGAAGACAAATTGGGACAATTCACAGATGATATAAAAAAACATAATAAGATAGATAACTGGGTAACACAACAACAACAAAAAAGATAATTGGATAAGAATAGCATGTTTTTACCCCACCCATTCTCTCCTTACCTACATTTTGTCTTATCTTCATAAACTTATAGTTGCATTTTGCTATTATTCCGAGCAAAAACTGTAATATACAGCCATTAGATTTCTACTTTTTAAAAAATTTTTTGTTTTGTTATATTTACCCAAATAATTCTTCTGTCTACCGACATCTCCCATTGGGTTTCCAAAAGAAAAAGAGATGAAAAAAAAAAACCCAACCAAATACAATATACAATAGGTGCTATAAAAATATCAGTAAACCACAGCAAGTACATGTGCTGAGCCTGTTAAATAAAATGAAAGAAAACTTTGAAACACTCTTCAGAACACAAAGCTAGACTAGTGGGATAACTTCTGGATCATGCTCTTCAAACACAATACATATTTCCCTGTGGGTTATACCCTTTCCTACTTCTCAGCTACTGGAATATCCTGTCTAAAAGAGCACAGATATGTGAACGGCACTGAGGGGTAATGGAATAGTTATTTATGCCACCAATTATATGTGTGTACATGAACTTCTAGAGTAATCACATTCATTACACAAGTACTGTGCATTTACTTTGTATGGTGTTACCTATAAATTGGTGATAAGCAAAATAAACATGGCTGTTGCCCTCTACTGGTTTCAGAACATAAAGGGACGGTAGTGCTTCAAGGAGAGCGTGTCTCCAGAGAAATGCGGTGTTTCGGTACTCTCTCACAACTGCCCCCCAGAAGAGTGACAGAGAGTGAAGATGGTAAAGAAAATGAGCTTTCTGTCATACTTCATTTGGTGGAAGTAAAGTCAATAAAATAGTGGCAATGTTGGGAGACATCCAAGAACAACCGAGAATAAAGGATATAGAAAGATGTGGCTTTTCCTAATGGATGGTGTCACTTGCAATAGAAAAGTCAGAAACTATAAAATTTTCTGGTGCAGCCTAAAATACTTAACCTGTGGACAGAAAGAATATTCTGGAAGAGCAGTGAACTGAATATAAGTAAAAGAGGTCACTGGAAGGACAAATACTAGATAATTCAAGAAAAATGAAAACTTAAAAAAAAAAAGAAAACGCCACAAGAAAGGAGGATGAACAGACAGTAAATACTGAGTCATTTCAATGGGGTCAAAAGGCCTTACCTGTGGGGCATATAAAACAACACAAACACAACTTTAAAGAATTCAGAGAACCTTTGTGAACACGATTGTGGAATGTTATGAGAAACATAAACAGTTCTGGCTGCCCCCAAAATATTGACAATTATTTGTGAATTATCAACATTTTCTGTATTACTTTTCAACCTATTTATTTACTAAGAAATACTTTCAAGGTAGCTTACCTGCTGGCATATGCTTGGGTACTACCTTCTGGTGTGGACCTATATAAAAACAGCATCAATGAGTTAATACTAAGAAACTTGACTATTATGTTAATGAACAAAGGGACATTTTATATAAAAGTCAACTCTTTACACATGCAAATACGTACTGTTCCTATTTTTCCAAACACCAAGTACAACATATCATACTGAATTTAAGTTCTTCAGTGAAAAGTAGTCTAAAGATAGCAAACAACATTGTTTCTTATGACTTCTAAGCACAGACTGTTAAGTTTGACTCTAACTTCCTTAATCTTGCATTGAGTTAACCGTTTGTGGACATATATGTCGCTACATGTTGTAAATTAAAATTCTTCACTTCAGGGTAGTCTGGCAAACTGGACTGATGAGAAAACTTCAACTGAAATGCAGGAACTCCAAGCCTGCTCCATACAACAGAGCAAACACTCATCCACTCAATTCCGTTATCCACAAGTTTGAATCAGCAAGCATAGAAATTGTTGTCGTGTTCATGGACTGTAAGAAGCACACCAGAAACCTCTCCTCCCAGTGTGGATCTCTACAACTCAGAGCATGCAGAACTTGCCATGACATTGAATGCTGTTTCTGCAGCTGAGTTTACAAATATAAAATAGTAAATGTCCATGAGCATAGCACAGTAAAACAAAAAATACACAATCAAGATCAACAGAGAACAGGAAAACCTTTTCAAAATGTTTAACATCTCCACAGGAAGAAGCCAGGAGTAAGGCAAGAAAATGATAACCGCTAGTGAGTGATTAGTGAAGTGATGTGTGGAAATCAAACAATGCCAGATAGGTGTAAATCTGTATTTATGAGCAGCTCAGTTAGGAAATATGGAGGCTAAGTTGAGAAGACTCTATTAAATGAAGACATTTCGGATGGAAAAAAAAAAAACAGACAAGTCAAGAATTGAACAGATACAGTGGACTCCTGAAAATCATGGAGGTTATGTTCCTTGAGCACCCACAGCTATGAAAAACTGTGAATTTCAGATATGGTCAGAAAAAATGCCTATTTTATAGTTTAAACCTAATTGTTTCTTGGCCTTTTTGGCTAAGATCGAGTGTATAGTTTAAACCTAAATATGCTATATCTCCCACAATTATGTAATTTAATAAAATAATGTATTATAAAGCCTTAGAAGGTGCAAACATTTGGCCACCTCTCAGGGATCTTAGGGCTTTAAGAACAAAACTGAAAACACTCAATAGCTGTAAGCGGTGTAGCAGCGAGCATGCCAGTACATCTGCCATTAACAGCCAATTAGCAGCAAGGAAACTGAATTTAGCTCTTGGATTGGCTATTTGCAAAACTCCCACCCACAAAACAACTGCAGAGGATAGTTGAGGTTTCCGTGAAATTATGGGGGTTTCCATGAATAATTACTAGGTTCTAAGGAAAAATTCTCGAACAACTGAGGCCTTGAAGTCTGAACCACGACTTCCCCAGGGGGTATACTGTAGCCATGGAATTAATGCCCTGAGTCTTGATATCTGATGATTATATTGAATCCAAAAGTGGATAAATCTTTAAATACTATATAAAAACATATGCTAATAAAACATTTCAAAGAAGAAACCCTACAAGTCCCCCCCAAAAAAAAACAAACATTACTTGGAAAGGAATAAACAATCAAACTAACAGCTGATGTCCATTTATTGACCTTAGATGATATGTACATGAAAAAACGTCATGTTCAGGCATTTACCACAAAATATTTATAACACAGAGATGCTACTAGGCAAAAGAGTTGTTCTTCAGGAACAAGGAAACTGAACCCACCATAAAGAGTAAGTATATTTAAGAATGATTAGTGAGTCGGAGTTGATGGATGATTTAAAGTCTTTACATAAAAGTGACAATAAATGGAGGATGAGGCCACACAGGTAAAAACCTGGAGGAAGCCATGACAACAGCATGGGGGGATTCATGATTGGGACTTGCAGATAAATAGTCTGGAACCTTCTCTCAGTTAGAAAAAGACTGGAGATGCTGGCAGAATTTAGATATTTAAAATTTAAATATAATTTAAGTATAAGTTTAATTATACATTTGAGTATTTATTATGTAAATTTAATAAAATTCAATTATACTAATTGTAATTTAATTATAAGTATAAAATTAATT